AGGAATAATTTACATATCATCTTGTAGCCAAGAACCAGGGCTTTCGATCTGTCATAGAAACACCTTAGTAGAAAATCTCTTCCTGTCTCGTAAATTGCAACCAAATTCAAAAAAATTGAATTTTTGGGCGTAAATTTCTGTGGGTCCCATTTTTATTACGGAAATTTACGCCCGAAAAATTTCCTGATGAAGGTTTTATCTCTGTTATTATTTTATATGATCACAAATTCAAATTAAGTATGAGTCATGTTTTTGTTTCACTTATATATAATAAGGATACTTACATACTGACATTTTGTACATATCCTAAAATAATAAATATAGTTAATTAATTTATGATCATTTGTAACTGGAGAATTTGTTAGTTTATATTATTATCTCAATTTCATACTTTTTACATTTAATAAAATAAGATCCAACTTCATATCTACCTTTTATACTTTTCTCATCTTCATGATTTAATTTATATACTGGGCATAATGATCCTTCAATAATATCATAGTAATCAAATTTTTCAGTAATAAATGTTTTATATAGATTAGAAAATTACAACAATATCTTATTACAAAAGTAAGCATAGTTATGAGTTGAATTAGATGATACACTTGCTTTGGTTAATTCCTCTAAAATCATTTTTGATAATTTTTCTGAATTAATGAAAACTTGAGATGGTTCTTTTGAAATTGATTTATTAGATATACTTACCTGAATTTTCGATAATATCTTCTTAGGTAATGCACTTACTCCAGTTTTGAATAAATCATTTAAAGAATTGCTAATATCCTAATTATTAATAAATTCTATATTAGACTTTTTGATAAAATAATCTATAATGGTTTGGATTTGTATATTAGTAAATCTTGAAATAATATCTGTAGTATAAGTTTTGATATACTGAATCTTATCCATTCCTATTTTTTCAATAAATTATAAACTCTTAAAGCTTTTTGTATTTACTTACATAAGTTTTCATGCTTTGTATTAAGGAGTTATTGATAATAAAATCATATACTTGACCTTTTGCTTTTTTCTCCTTAATATTACTATTAGCCATGAAATTTTTAACTATACCTTTGAACTTTTTAACATAGAAATACCAATATAATATTTCTTCTTGATTGGCTTTAATAACATCTTTTTCTATATCACATGTATTTTAATATAAACAAATAATATCTTGATCTGAAGTAATTTCAGTTATATGATTTTGACAAATATTGTTTTGTGAAATTTTAATTATATTATTCTGATCTTTAATGGATGTTGATATCTCTTGTATTAAACTTTGCTCTTTTTTTTACTTGGAAGAGATACTAGATTTAATATTAAATATATAAGTGTTTTTTTTTGAAGAATTTTTAGTAGGTAATCCACATTGAAGTTTTTTCTCTCTATTTCATTTTTTTTATTTCATTACGAATTTGTTTATTATTCTTTTCAATCAGAAAGTTATCCATTTCCTTATTTTCTGATAATTTAAGTTTTATACATATGGATAATTTAGTCAAATATAAATTGGAGACTTAAGACTTTATCTCTTTTTGATGTTTATTAGAATTCAGAATGTTGTCAATTATATCAAATGCTGAAGTATTACTTTCTCTTTGAAAAAAATTTATCTTTTCAATAATATTGTTAAAATTTATTTCAAGAGAAATAGATAATTCCTTAAAAATCAATTCAGTAACCTGCATATTCTTTTTATCAGAATGGTTTTCAATATGTGATAATGTAGATGATTAATTGGTAATAGCTAATAATTCAAATATATTAACATAAGGTTATAAAATATTAGATATAATTTGTTTCTGTTTAATCTTTTTGATATCATATTCTGATTTTGTTACTCTACTCTTAAGTTCAGAATTCTCTATTCAACTTCACTTCTTATTCTTAGTACTTTTCTTTGTGATCCATTTTAATTCTATTATTTTAACCACATCTGAAAATTTTTGAAGAATAAATATATTTAGATATTTTTTGGTTTAGAAAAAATTCAAAAAAATTTATAAATTTATACAAATTTATTTATATATATTCAGATTTTTTTGATTCTCAAATATCCGAAACAAATATATCTAAATATTTTTCGATTTAGAAAAAATCTAAATAAATTTACAAATTGTGTGAATATATTTACATATATTTGAATTTTTTTGATTCTCAAATATATCCAAATATATTTACGCATCAGGAAATTTTTAAGAACAAATATATTTGAATATTTTTTGATTTAAAAAAAATTCAGATAAATTTACAAATTTATGTGAATATATTTACATATTGAATTTTTTCAATTCTCAATTATCCAAATATATTTGAAAATTATTTGAAAAATTCATAGGATATTTAATAAGAAATGATATTGAAATTCTATTTTTAATTCTTTGAAGTTATGATCTTTAACAAATTTTTAGATAGATAAAGATCTATTTAGTTCTAA